CAGGTGTGTCACTGTTGGTGCCCTTGACCCCTTCATTTGTGTCCTTAATGAAAGTGTCAAATAACATTGATCCCAGCATGGACCCTGAGGGGCACCACTGGTCACTCCTGTCCATCAGGACTCAGAGCCATTGATCACCACCCTCTGGAATATCAGGTTGCTGCTCAGGACGACATGTTCCCATTTTCCTTTGTGTTTGCCAAGATGTTCTGTGGAAAAGAATCCGAGATATCCTCAAGTGAAATGAGATTCTCACTCCTGGAGCTCATGGCCCATAAATCTGTAGCTGGAAGCAGGATTACCCCTGGTGATGGGAAATGTGGTCTGGAGAGATGGAACAGGATAAGAAAAGTGCCTAATAATCCTTCTGATGCAGAAAGAGAAAAAAATAACCTAAGATACTCTTATCTCTGTTAAAAAGATGGTCATAAAGCATCCTGAAATTTTACAATAAATTTCATGTCAATTTTTGACACATTAATCTTCAGTATTTTGAAAGAAATCTCAAGATCAAATCAGAAATTAATAAAAAATAAAATATTAATATTTTCATTTCTTGTCTTTTCTCAAAGACCATTTCTATGAAAACAAGAGCATATTTATGAAGAAAACAAAGAAAAATATGTGAAACTACATATTTTCTATAAATAAATGCTGGTTGATATAAAGTACATGCGTGGAGGGAAGAAAGTCCAATTCTGTTTATTTTTTCTGACATTTTAACCTGACCAAAACCCAGCGGAGTAATGAGAAATTTGAACCTTTAGGGAAAGCCTATTTGAGATTTTATACCCTATTTTGCTGAGTTTCAGACCTTCTAAAAATTATTGTTCCTTTCAGTCATAAAACAAGGAAAACCTGGTATTCTTCCCCATGAAATATTTGTTTCAAATAAAATAATTTTGCTTAAATCCTGAATTCTTGAGTTATAAATAAGCCCCACAGGCTGCCCAATTTTATTTTAGATTTCAGATCACAAAAATAAAATTCCATTTTAAATAATATGGAAAACATTATACTGAGAAGAGCAGCACAGGACTGTGCTGTGCCATTAACGAGGCTAAAACAGGTAATTCCACAAACAAATCTGTTTTCCAGTGGGAAATCCCTTTGCTTTTAAATTCCTCACCAAATACACTCAGTTTGATGGAAACATTCCTGCTGTATTAAAGACAGAATTCCATGGGAAAGGCTGGAATTTTTGCTGCCTGAGACAGATTCACTCTTTGTTAATTTCTTGTCCATATTTTGGTCCTTTTCCTGACCCATTTTCAACGGAGCTGGATTTTGGCTGTGAAGGAATTCAGCAGAGGGTATTCCAAAGGTTTGGGTCAAGGCATTATGGGATGGAGGGCTAAAGCCAACGCTCAATGACACAGCTGCACTTCAGGAATGAAGCATGGGACAGATGTAACTCCTGGAAATAAATCTCTCCCCTCTGTAGCCGATGCCAACTCCAGCTCTGGCACATGATTTAAACCCTCATCCTTGAATAAGGTTCCCAAGACCTTTTCAAGGTTCCTCTGGAAGGCAAAGACAAGGATGGCTGTTACAAATGGATAGGCCCATGGAGACGTGGGAGAACTAAATCTGCCTCCCATCCAGCCGTATTTCTGGGCATCCCAGATGGAGGCTTTGGCAGGAGGGTCCCAGGGAAACGTGGAGATTCAAGGACTCCAGATGAACAGGCAGCAGGACAAATTATCCTGGCAAGGCTCCTGCTGATCCACTGCTCACCTGGAGCTCCAAAGGGATGGATTTGGAGACCCAAATCAGGATGGAAAAACCTCTGAGGGCACAGGCTGGATGGGCGCTCCTTGACTGTTCCCAAATCCCACTCCTGTTTTCCTGAATCAGTGGTTTTACAAAAGAACTGTGCTTTGGCTTTACATCTGCTAATTCCCAGTTGGAGGACTGAATGCACATTCCTTATGGACACAGGGGGCTGTTGCATTGCAGCTGGGAATTCCCTAAAATATTGCTGGTTTAACCTAAGTCCTTGTGGACAGAGGGGCTAGTTAGGCTGTTGCATTCCAGGTGGCAATTCACTAAAATATTGATCTTTTAACCTAATTCCTTATGGATTCAGGGGTTAGGCTGTTGCATTCCAGCTGGGAATTCCCTAAAATATTGCTGTTTTAACCTAATTTCCATTCTAGCCAGTCTCTGAACCCACAATTTTACACTTGGCAGAAAAGGTACTGGTGCTTAATAATATTAATAATATAGATAAAGATATAACTGTAGAGAGTCTGTGGAATTCCAGTTGGAATAAATGAAAATAGCTTGAAGTTATCAAGTATCTGGGATATAACCAAGTGCTGTTTTAATCCAGAAATAGTATTTATTGCAGGGTAGAAAAAAAATAATAACTTTAGAATAAACCTAGCAACCTTTTTCTTATCTGGCTACATTCTTTTTTATTCTAGTATTATTATTCTGATATTAAAATACAATTGATATTAAATGAAGAAATTGATATTAAATTTAAAAAACCTTTAGTGATAAGCAAGAATGTGGTCCAGAATTATATTATATTACATTATGTTATGTTATATGTGATTTTTTTATCTAAAATGTGTTAAAACAAAACCCACTTTGATCTGGAAGAATGTCTGGGTTTGGGAGATGAAGAAGTTGTGTTGTGTGAACACTGCAAAACAAAGAGGAAAATGTTTGTAATTGTAATTAATGTTGTAAATCCCAACTCCGTCTCTCAGCACTCAGCAAGGTGTACCAGGGAACAGCTGGAAAGGTATAATGAGTTTGTGGCTCCTAAATCCATTTATTCAGAGTAAAGAGAACACAAGAAAACTGGCTTTTAACTGTGAGGGTGCCCAAACTCTGGGGCAGTGTACGGGATCCCTATCCTTGGAGATCCCCTGCTTGAGCAGGGGCTTGGACTTGATCATCTCCAGAGGTTCCTTTCAACCTAAATGATTCTGTGAAATTATTCTACTTTTAAATTACCTGGGACTACATGAAATGATGGAGTTAGCAGCAGAGAAAGCATGGAGAAAAAAGGGGGGGAAACCTGAGCAAACGGAGAGGAGAATGACCCTTGTGAGTCCTCAGTTTCTCAGCATGCAAGACCAAACCTAAAAATGGGATTTTTGGGGTGGTACAAAATAATTTCTCTGAAAAAGAAAAGAGTAAAATATGTTAAATAAAAATCAGAAAAGTCTAGTCAATGGTCCAGATGGCAACAAGCTCCCTCTGACAGCCAGAGCACATCTTAGATTCTTTGCTGGAGGGTCTTTGTTGGTCAGGTCTCACCTGGAGAAGACAAGGTGCATCCCTGATGGGAAGTTTGGAGGTGTATCTGTGTAAACATCAGTCACGTGCAAAACTGGCACCTGCAGGAAAACATCCCCTGCCATGTGCTTGGCACATTTAGATGGATGTGTCACAAAATGCCTAATTTTTATAGTGTATCCCATTGTTCTAAACACAGGAATATGCACAGGAAAACATTCCACAGTGCTTTACTGGCAAGACACTTAAACAGGCTCTCGGGTGGAATTGGAAGGTGGCTGGGAAATAATTAAATAAATCTGATTTGATGTGACTGGATTTGGGTTTGGTTCCAACTCTGCACTGATTTTGGATGTTCTGTAAACTGGATTACCCGGATTTTGGGTTATTTTCCTATCAGGCATGTCAAGTGCTAAATTAAAAAATAAAAAAAAAAGTAGATTATATTTTGTGATACGCCCTCAGGCTCAAGGAATGTGACAGAGCATATCCTGGAAGTACAACTGGATCCCTAGTGAAGAATAAGCTCCAGAAGGAACAAATGCCAGGGGTAGCTTGATGGACATGGATTACCATGTTCTCTCCTGCAAAACTGTTCCGTTCAGCAGAGCAGGAGAGACCAGCAGTGTGTTATTGTAGAGGGCTGGAGCACCTCTGCTGTGAGGAAAGGCTGGGAGAATTGAGATTGTTCACCCTGGAAAAGAGAAAGCTTTGGGGTGACCTAATTTGGCTTTCCAAGACCTGAAGGAGCCAACAGGAAAGATGGACAGAGACTCTTTACAAGGGATAGAGTAACAGGACAAGGGGAATGGCTTCCCAGTGCCAGAGGGCAGGGTTAGATGAGATGCTGGGAAGGAATCTTTGTCTGTGAGGGTGGTGAGGTCCTGGCACAGGTTGCCCAGAGAAGCTGTGGCTGCCCCATCCCTGGAAGTGTCCAAGGCCAGGTTGGATGGGGCTTGGAGCAACCTGGGTTAGTGGAAGGTGTCCTTGTCCATGGCAGGGAGTGGGACTGGACTCATCACCTGTTGTCCCAATGGAAAGAATCACTGAATTCCGGGCTGGTTTGGGTTGGATGAGACCTTAAAACCTAACTTGTTTCACCCCCTGCCATGGGCAGGAACACCAAGTTGTTCCAAGGTCACAGCAGCACGAGGAGGCTGAACTGATGGTGCTGGAGTGGATCTAAAATTGTTGGAGAACGTCCAAAGGAGGGACATGGAAATGGAAAAGGGGCTGGAGGGGCCACATGAGGGGCAGCTTGGCTTGTTCAGTGGGAGGAAAGCAAGGCGAGACTCCTTGTGGTCTGCAGGTTCCTCACAAGGGGCTGATCTCTGCTGTGACCAGGGACAGGACTCGAGGGAATGGCTGGAGCTGTGCCAGGACAGGGTTAGGTTGGATCTCAGAGGGTGGCTGGGCACTGAACAGGCTCCCCAGGGCAGCGGTCACAGCCCCAAGGCTGCCAGAGCTCAAGGAGCGCTTGGACAACGCTCTCAGGGACAGGGTGGGATTTTGGGGTGTCCTGGGCAGGGCCGGGAGCTGGACTAGATGGTCCCTGTGGGTCCCTTGCAACTCAGGATATTCCATGACACTGATTCAGACGGCGCTGGTCTCTCCCTGCCCCGTAATCCAAGGATGCGGAGCAGCTGCCGCCTGCAGCCCCTCCCTCTGTGCGTGTTTCCGTCGCGGGGGTGGATCCCGGAGCGGATCCCGGGGCGGTCCCATCCCCTCGCGGGGCCGGCGCGGGGCGCTCGGGCCGGGGGGTCCCGGGGAGCCGGAGCGCGTGAGTGCGGGAACCGGGAATGGGGACTCGGGATGGGGTGCCGGCCAGGGAGCGAGGGAAGGGCGGAGAGCCAGGCCGGGCCGGGCCGGGTCCCCTTTCTCCCCCCACCGCGGTCCGGGGGGATCCCGTGTCGCGACTGTCGGTGCTGAGTCGGGGGGGGCTTGGGGCTGCCTGGGGCCGGGAGCCCGCACGGGCACGGCCATGGGAGTGGAACAGAACAGGTTCTGGGTGTTCTTTTTCCTCCCCGCCTTTTCCTTTTCTCTTTTTCTTCTCCCCTTTTCCCTTTCCTTCCCCCCCCTTTCCCTTTCCTTCCCCCCCCTTTCCCTTTCCTTCCCCCCCCTTTCCCTTTCCTTCCCCCCCCTTTCCCTTTCCTTCCCCCCCTTTCCCTTTCCTTCCCCCCCCTTTCCCTTTCCTTCCCCCCCCTTTCCCTTTCCTTCCCCCCCCTTTCCCTTTCCTTCCCCCCCCTTTCCCTTTCCTTCCCCCCCCTTTCCCTTTCCTTCCCCCCCCTTTCCCTTTCCTTCCCCCCCCTTTCCCTTTACCTTCCTCCCCCCCTTTCCCTTGCCGTCCCCCCCTTTTTCCTTTTCCTTCTTCCCCCCGCTTCCTCTCCCTTTCCTCCCCCCCATTTATCCCTTTCCTTCCCCCCCCTTTCGCCCTTCCTTCCCCCCCTTTCTCCCGTTCCTTCCCCCCCCGTTTCCCTTTCCTTCCCCCCCCTTTACTTTCCGTCACCCCCCCGTTCCCTTTCCTTCCCCCCCCTTTCCCTTTCCTTCCCCCCCCTTTCCCTTTCCTTCCCCCCCCTTTCCCTTTCCTTCCCCCCCCTTTCCCTTTCCTTCCCCCCCCTTTCCCTTTCCTTCCCCCCCCTTTCCCTTTCCTTCCCCCCCCTTTCCCTTTCCTTCCCCCCCCTTTTTGCTTCCCCCCATTTTCTTTTCCTTCCCCTCCTTTTTCCTTTCTAAATTTTATTTTCTTTTTTTTCTGGCTCAAACCCTCTTTACCAGGTGGCCTCTCTAATTCCGTCTATTCCTGCTCTCCTGGCTCCAGGATGTGCCTCCAGGAATGGTGTGTTTAGCGTTTACCTGTTGGGCTTCTGGAGTAGTTTTCCATTTCAGCTGAGTTTCTGTGTGTCCATTTCTCCATTCTAGCAAGGAAAATCTCCATCCCATCCACCACCTTGTGAACATCTCTCGTTCTAGAACATGCCCAGCTGCTCACTTTGCAAAACTTAATAGGAATTCCAAGGAAAACCAGTCCTGGTGTTCACACTGCCCTGCTCTCTCTTGATCATCTCATGTCCATGTGTAACACGAGCGAAGACTTGTGTGTTTAGGGGTAAACTTCATTTACAAGGGACACACTTTACAGAGAAGGAGAGGAACTCCTATGAGCTTCTTGCCTGGGACTGACAAAGTTACACATGGAAGAAGGAGTTTCTTCTGAGATTGAGGTTAGAGAGGCAAAGAACAGCTTTTTTTTCTGCTTCATGAACTAGCGTTTGCCCAGAAGCAAATCTATGAGCTGGTTGTCTGTAGAGCAGGAAAAATCCTTTTGAAACTTGTGGAACAGAGAGGGATCAGAACCCCAGACTGGTTTGGGTTGGAAGGGACCTTAAATATAATTTAAGATAAGAAGCTGCGCCTGCCCCATCCCTGGAAGTGTCCAAGCCCAGGTTGAACAGGGCTTGGAGCAAACTGAGATGATGGAAGGTGTCCCTGCCTGTGGCAGGGAATGGAACTGGATGGGCTTTAAGGTCCTTTCCAACCCAAACCATGCTGTGATTCCATAATTCCATGATTTTAGCTGGCAGCATGAGCCCAACTGGCAGCATAGGCAAGGTGCTTTGGAACATTTCTTGTCCTGTCCCAGCTCTTTTTGCTCTGCCTCAGCTCCTGCTCTGTGTTTTAGATATTCACATTTGATTTCCTTTTGCACCCTGATGTAGTTATTTCCATGGATTTCAGAAACTTGCTGTAGAATGGAGCTCCCTGTCCTGGTTTTAAGGCATTTGGACTTAAAGGAATATCAGATTTTCGAGGCCAGAGCTTCTGGTGTGTTCTGGTTTGGAATGGTCTTCAAGCAAAGTGTCCCAGAAGGATCTGCATGGATCTTTCCTCTGCTGTCCCAAACAGAGCCATCTTTCCATAGGGAGCTGGGCCCTAAAAACAAGGAGCATGTCCACATGGCCATCAAGGTCTTTTCCATAAATAAATCCAGTGGAGCTGGAAAGCTGGGCTGCCTGGAGACTTGAGTTATAGCTGTAGGACAGGTGTTGATGGAACCTCAAACAGGAGTTTGCCTGGCTTCTAAAAATGGAGCAGAAATTGTGATGAACATATTAAATTTATAGGAGATTTTTCAAATCTTATAAAAAAACAAACCAACAAAGAAGCAATAATCTTTCTTTAAACTATTTTCTGTTGTATTTAGGTTGGTTGTTCCATGCAAGTAGTTTTTGCACCAGTTTGGTTTCACTGTTGATGAAAAGCAGCATCTGTGAGGCTTTTACCCTGTCAGCATCATGGAAATACGTGGGATTTTCCAGGCCTTTCCAGCTGGAAAAGAAAGTTAGAGTGACTTCTCTGCAGAGAGATCTGTTTTCTGCCTGTGTTTGATTTGTTATTGCTTGTCTTCAGCAGCATTTTCAAGCTGGAAGTGGCATAATCATTCCCTAACAAAAGCAGTTTGGATGCAATCCCTGTTTGCTTTTTAATAGGGAGCTCGTTTATCTTTATTAATCACAGGTTCTCTGAATCCTGCCCTCTGTTCCTTTCACAGGCAGGATTGATGGATTGATTGCTTCTTCCCTAAGAGAGAATTCCAGAGAGTCAAGTCTTTCCTGAAGCAAGAAACTTCCACAGATTATCCTGGCATTGGCATGAGGAGTTTGTCCCCTCTGTGTCCTCAATTCCTGTCACTGATGCCAAGTACCTTAAACCCCCAAACCAGTACCTTGAATTTAGTTTTGATAAGCCAGATTCCTTCTGATGTGTGCCACTGAGTAATTTTTCCCTTTTTTTCCTTCATCTCACACATGTTCCCAGTCATCTGCTGCACCAGGGGGCTGTTCCCTTTAATAAGGGATGAATTCTCCAGCAACAAAGGGAAGAGGATATTTTCCCAGTGGAATTCTATCTCTCTTTAGAGGACCTTCTCAGACTTTTTGTTATTCTATTATTCACTTTCTTACTACAATAGATACTTCACTTTTTGATTCCTTTCCCATCCAGATATCCCTTTCTGTCATCCAAATATCCCTTCCCATCTAAATATCCCATCTTCTTTCTCAGTGTTCCCATCTCAGCTGCTTTCCACTGAGGTTCCTGTTGTAGTGATCCATTTTAGTTTTTGCATAACATATTCCCATTTTAAATTTAGTTTCTGTGCTTTGACACTCTGTCAGTGCTGTGCCAACACATCTTCTTCCTGAGGAATCATGTGCTGGAGAAAGAGATGGAATATGGGTATTCCTTAAAATTTGTTTGGGAAAAAGTTTCAGAAGTATCTCTTTGGAATTCAGAGCCAGACCCTAAATCTGTGTCATCTTTGTAATTTCCCATTACTCTGGTAATTTGCTGTTACAATTCCAAGGAATCCCTGGGATTTGGGTAGTCCTTCGTTTCCATAGGCAGTCACAGCCCAAAGATCTTGTTCTTAAGGTTTCCAGTTGTTTTCCAGAGACTTGCAGCTTCACCTTCCCAGTTCCTAAAAGGGTGTTCAAAGCAGTATTTTTGGGAATCCCTGATCTTGTGTTGAGTTGCTCAGCACTGTGAGGGCTTAGCTGAGCCCTTTCTCCCACCTTGGGTTCCCAGGACATCCCAATGTTACTCGATCCTAGCTCAGGTAGAGCTCCAGGAGGGTGAAGTTAATTGATTATCCTGCTGTGGAAAGCTGGAAAAAGGTGACAGTATTCAAGGAAAGATCACAAAGTGTGTCCTCATCGCTGTCTGATGTGGCTTCAGGGATTTCCTTCCATTCCTGAATTTAATGAATCATTTCACCCAACTTCCCTGATCCTCTCCTTTGATAAACACCAGCCTAAATCCTACACTAATGGAGACTGAGGGAGGGTCTTTTCCCAGTGGAATTTTATGATACTGAAGCCCAGAGACATGGTGAGATGAGCAGAATTCCCTGCTCACCCAGCGTGAGGTGCAGTGGGAAATACGTTTTGGTGTCTCATAGCCCATTCCTAACTTAGTGTTCTTCCCAATGAATGTGGGATCCTTAGGAGCCATAAACAGGAAAATCCTGAAAATTTGGGCCCTATACCTTGCAAAGACATGGAAATATTGCTTTTGATTCTTTCAGAAACGAGTGTGCAAATTGTTGGAAAGCATCCCAGGGGAGGCTAATGGCTACCTCATGGATTGTGCCATGGAGCTGGATTCCAGACAGAAACTCTCCCCTGACTGTGGTCCTTGGGCAGCAAAAACAAAGCAAAATTCCATGGTATGTTTACATTGTGAGTCTGTTTGTTACAAGATCATATTTAAAATACATTTTATAGTAAAGCTGCAAAAAAAAAGCTTTTTTTTTATTTTTCTGATGGTGTTGTATGTGGTTTTGTTCATCAGATTTTGGAAAACCATGGAAGCAAAGGAGCTGCACAGCCTTGCCCCAGATGTATTGCTGGAGAGTCTGTAAGTGTGTGAACCTGCTTTCTGGGACAGAATTATTAGATCAATTAAACATAAAGTTATTAAACCCCACAATGCCATTGCTCAGGAGTAAAGCATGTAAATAGAAAGAAAGGCAGATTGATTTTAGCATTTCAGCAGAGCACAAATTAATATCTTTGGAACAGCAGCTGGAAAATACATAGGCTGGCAACATATTTTTCAAATTCCCCCTAAAAAGCAGAGTTTAGGAAGTAATTAAAGCAAACAGCAACATACAACTTACCTACCCCATTTTTAATTGCCCTTGATGTACTGGATCATAACAAAATTTCCAGGAATTTCCTTCTGTCTCTTATTTTTCCCTCTAATTGGATACTTCCTTTCCAATGAGTAGCCTGAAGATACTGCTCCCTACAGAGCCAAAATGAGGAGAGGTGTGGGGGGATACTGAATGTTTATAGCAAAATCTGGGATTTGATGGAATTCATGGCAAAGTTTCCATTGAATGCTGTCAGGACTCAGGAGCTATGACTGGAAAGACATTGGCTGTGTCAACTTATTTCTGCTCATCTTTAAAAATAAAAGGAAAACCAGATCCAGGGCTGACTGTAGGTATATGGGAACCAGTGTGGCCACTTTGTGGAGAACATCTGTGGGGTTAAAACCCCAAAACCCAAAGAACATCTTGGGATTAAAACCTGGCATATTAAGTCAGTTTTGTTGCATTCCAAAGCTACAGTGACATCAGACTTTGTAAAATTCTTCTGTCAGTGACCACCTCATTTTGGTGGTCATGAGTGACCACCTCATGACTGAGTACAAATATCATCGTCCCCAATAATAATATAATAAAATAGCACCATTTCTATTTTCAGTCATATCAGCCTGATGTGTTTTTTCCTATGGCCTAATAATGACCTTGAGATAAAAGCCAGATAATTGGAGGAGGTAAAATTCACCTCTTCCAGAACATTTATCTATGGAAGTTTGGGATTATTGGATGACCTGTTTTACTCACTATTAAATGCTCTTCACCAACAGCTGTAGGAAACAAGGAAAACACCTTGCCAGCTTAGCTCAGTGAGAGCTGGAAGCTCACAACTAAAGATCTTTTCTGATTTGAATGTTCTGTGCTTTCAATGTAGAAACTCAAGGTTGGATTACAAAAACCTGGAGCCTTTGTAGGGCTTCTCACTAGACTTCTTCCTAAATTAGTTTCATGTTGTCAAGTTGAGATGGAAAATGCTTTGCTCAAAGCAAATTTTAAAATTTGTTTCTGATTTTAAATACGTTTCTGTATAGATTTAATTGTGGTCTCTTCACAGTCAGTGAAGAGTCTTCATAGTCAGTTATTCATGGCCAGTAACAGATAATAGAGTAATACTTCAGTAAATTTGGTAAGAGTTCTAACAGTAAATTATCTTCCTTCTTAAAATAATAAGAAGCTGATACTGAGAATCTAGTTAGAAGTATTACTGTGAGGTCTTTGAACTGAGACAACGTGACATAAAGAAATGCAGGCTTGAGTTTAAAGTAAAAGTTGCCAACCAAAAGGTAAATTTTTCTTCTGTCCTCAAAATCTTTTAACATTAATGGTAAAGCAGAATAAGGTATATAAATATGATGCTAAAATTGTCTTTATTTTCTGTGGGTGTATTTTAGCTTCATATACAAAACTAAATTCATAACTCAGTCATGGTCCTTGTACAGATCACACTGAACAGTTCCTTTTAATATCCAGATTTTTTAGGTGTCCTCTAGTCTCTGGGGAAAAAACATTTGTGATGTTGCTATTGAAGCTGTGATTTAAAATAACAAACAGTGAGGAAAAGACTTTGTTGAGATTATTTTTAGTGACATGAAATTTTGGCATTTCAGGGACACTTCAGTCATATCCTGGGCTTCTAGAAATGGAGAGTTGGCAGAAGAGCAGCACTTCTTTCCTGTTTGGATCCTGGAGGTGCCCCTGTTCCCACTTGGATCCTTGCAACACCCCTCCTCTGGTCTGGTTTGTGGTGCTCAGCACGCGCCAAATGGCTCTGGTAGCACTCAGTGCACAATTAGCATCATTTTTACACTTGAAAAAAAATGCTTCTGCTCTTAAGGTAGCTCAGAATATGTTTGAAAAGGAAAAGAAAAGGTTGATTTAATGTTTTGGAACTAATTAAGTTGATCTGGCCTTGGGCCTTGTCTTCACCTGGTCCTGGGCCAGAGGTCACATTGATGTCAGAGGTTTTCCTGGACACATTCCCTGGCACTCTTGGAAAATGCTTCTTTTACAGGGCCACAGGCAGAAACAGGAGGACACAAATATTTTGTTTAAGTGGCTGCTCAGCTTTGCAGCTGAGAAGGCTAATAAAAATCCCCTTGAAGCTTATATTGAAATCCAAAAAAATCTGTTTAAAAAGACTTGGATTCGTTATCCAACATCCTTTTATTGGCTTGTCGCAAATCATTCCATCTATATTTTTGCCAGTCTATAGGGTTATATAACTTTTAGGCTCTAAGACGACATAGTTTTGCTATTTGGGTGCAACACCTCAGCTTTTGGGCAGAGTTCAACCCAAAAAAGACAACAACATTTGGCTTCTCCTGTTCCGAGAGCAGCCAGGAGCCACTTCAAATTCAATTAGTAGCTCCAAAAGTGGACAAAACTAGTGACAGGCTTTTAAAGGTTAATTTTGGGCTTCATCAGACTGCAAAGTCCTCAGGCAAAGGACTTTTGGATCCTAGAATCCTTCCCATGTTATGCGTGGAGTTGTGGCGTTTGCATTGGAACCAGGAAACTCAAATTTTGGTCCCTTTTAAGCCTGTGAGCCTCTTGCAGCTGAAACTATTAGGCTGAATAATGGATTTGACTTCTTAGACTCACTTTCCAAGTCCTTTGATGCCAGCAGATCCCCTTGCTAAACACAGTAAAGGAAGCTTTTCGATAGGGTCAGTAGTTTCCAACAGGTTTCTTTTGGCCTGTATTACCATGTCTCGGTCATGTCTTGCTTAAATCTTGGCTGGAATATGATAAAAACAAGAACCAGCTGGGGTTTTTTGTGGTCCTTGTAGGTTTTGTGCCATGCTCTTTTAAATTCTCCCCCTTTTAGAACAACCATTACTTGGATTTTTTTCAAATCTGATGGTACATAACTCACAGGGCTGCTCACAGTTGGCTGGCGAAGTCACATTGGTGTTTGATTTTAATGTGATTTTTGGTATCAGTTTCCCATTGTTCCTGAGAATGAGGAGTTTCATCATGGCTGGGCTTCGCCAACGAAGATTTGGGAAGGGCTCTACCCACATTTGCTGCAAAGGCAAATGCAGATAGAGATAGATGAGTCTGGTTGCAAAAGGCACAGCAGAAAGACGCCTTGGATGGTGTCGACAAGACACGGTTCTGTCTGCATTGTCTTTTCTCCTCGAGAGTGATCCTGCGAGTGTTCTCAAAGGAGACAGCAGCGTTATAGATGGTGTGTCTCCAGGCCTCCTGATTGGAGGCCAGAGTAGACCAGTTATGTTGATCAATATGGCCAAGGCTGAGATGTTGTTTCAGGGAGTCCTTGTATCTTCTCTTTGGGGCTCCTCTCATGCAGCAGCCGGTGGCAAGTTCACCATAAAGCAGGATCTTAGGGAGGTGGTGGTCCTTCATCCTGCCCAATGCAGCTGTGTTCTCAGCAACATGGCCTCAATACTTGTGACTGCTTCTTGTTCTAGAACAGATGTATTGGTCACACAATCTGACCAGTGGATGTTTAGGATTGTGCGGAGGCAGCGTTGATGGAAGCGTTCTAGGAGATGCAGGTGGTGGCAGTGGATGACCCATGATTCAGATCCGTATAAGAGGGTAGACAGCACTATGGCTCTGTAAACACTGATCTTGGTACTTTTCTTCAGGTGTTTATTTGGCCAGACTCTTTTATGGATGGTTTGCTAAAGTGAAGGCTTTTAATAGTGCTATTTTTTTAAATAGATATAATTTATTTTGGGATCTGCCAGAATCAGAAGGGTTTTGTGGGAGGTACAGGTTGGGACAGGTGAATATTCCTTTAAAGCAGATTTGTGTCAAATCTGCAACAGAACCACAGAATTATTTTTGTATGAATTGTATAAATATGAATTTTTGTTTTATGGATATAAAATATATAATCTTTATATTTCCTAATGCTGTGGTTTGTACACAGAGTAAGCAGAACAATGCTTTATTTACATGTACATAGTTAAAAATGGCACCTGGTCTGTTTTTAATTCAGGTTAAAATGATATAATTATTATTTTTAACTTTGTATTTGGTAAATTGTTCCTTACAAAAGCAGAAGTAATAAAAACCACTTTGGCTACAGCATGGAATTGTCTGGGTGTTTTATTCCAGTAATGATTTCTGAAGACACTGAGATATAAAGGCAAATAAAATCTTTGAGGACAATAAATATATTATTCCATCATTATATATTGTACATATATATCTATATAACATATAGATATAAATATCTGTTATATAAGATTGTTGTTCTAGATTTAATTGCTTTAGATTATGGTACTAGTATTTGATTATTTATTTGATGGTAATTCCACATCCATTTGATATCTTGACTGCTATCTCTTGATATCTTGAGATTTAAAGGCAGTCTGGATCTGACAAGCCACAAAGACAAGACTTATAGAACTTATATGTTGAAATTAATATATTTAAATTTATTTTTTGTTTATTTAAAATATTATAATTTATTGAATATATTTAAAAATTGTGATGTTTGTGTCTAAATTAGTTGCTTAAAACCTCAGC